AATAATGTTCCAATGACAGTATAAACAATGCTATAGCATCAAGACCAGAGACAGACCTCAGCATATTTCTCAACCAAAGGTCGGAAAACAAGATCACCTAGAAGAGCCTTGTCAGATGGAAGGCCTTCTTTCTCTCCAGTCAAGAGTTCCCTGAGAACCATAACAAAGCCAAACACAAACTACCTCATTTACATGACTGATGCAACCACAATTAATAAATAACTACAGCCTAAAAAATAGAAGAACAAAAATCAACTGAGAACAATAAAATAAGGAGATAAATCTCACGTGAAGTAAGAGTTGTCAAAGATGAGAGGGTTGGTAGTCCATGGTCCTTCAAAGCCAGACCTCTCCTTGTGGCACCTTCCCTGCAAGGACAGAGCAAGAATAGATATCTAAAACGATGAACAATGCTGATGCTACAACTTATGGAGAATTTGAAAAATGAGCACAAACCAGGGTGTGGCCACCAGAGAGTGCAACAATATCCTTGTCACTGAGTCCCATTTGCACACTGAAGACCTGTCTCAAATGGTCAGTGCCTGCTAGAGTTCCATAAGAGATTAAATCAAAATCATCATTAAGACCTAGGCTTAATTAAAAGTAAAAGCAACAAGTCCTAACCCTTGGTCGCATCAGGAAGACGACCCTCAGGAAGTGGCTGGGGCTTGTCCTGAAACAGATAGCAGATAATATCAGTTAATTCCGACAACAACATATATGAGGATAAGAATCAATTAAGGGAGACAGTTTATCATCCAATGATTTAGTCCTGAACTGAAAAAATCCCTGAGTTGGTCTTATTGTTTACCATTTTGACCCAACTTGGTCCTTCCTTAAAAATCGACCATTACCTGACGGAAAAAGATGACAGCATGACAAAAAAAAACAATGACATGACAAGAAAAAACCTTAAAATATTTTTTTTTCCTTCTTTTTTTTTTTTCTTCCTTAGATTTTCCTTTTTTCCCTTTCATCTTCTTCTTCCTTTCCTTTCGCCTTCTGCAAACCCTAACACCTTCTAACATTAAATGAAAAAATAATACAAACCCAGAATCTCCGCAGACCAGTCACCACCCTAGATTCTTTCTTTCAACCTCTCCAAAAAACCCAGAAAAATCAAGGCATCTTTTTCCAAAATTCTAAAAAAAAAAAAAAAAACAACTGAAGCATTCTTAAGTCTTTCGAACCCAGTAGATCTGCTGGGTTCCATCGAATCCACCCAACAGATCTGTAAGTTCGACCTCTGTATTCTGGTAAGAACATCTCCAATCATAAGCAGCCATATGCAAATTTTTTCCCTCAACCAATTTTTGCCAAATTCTCAATGAAAACAGCCCACACAAACAAAATATTCATTAGCAAAATAATCAGCTGCAACCCAAAAATATCCCTAAAATTCAAGCTTCTAAACATAAATATCTAAAAAAAAAAAATCGAACCCAGCAACTCGCTGGGTTCTCGAGAACCCAGAGATGATGAGGAGATGATAAAAGGAGAGGATTAAAACCCAAGCCGGCAAACAAGGATCCAGGGGAAGAAGATGAACAACGAAAGAGGTTGGAGATGAAAAGTAAGGGGCAACAAAAGGAGGAAGGAAAGAAAGTGATGTGTGGTTGAAGATAGGGTAAAAATGTAATTTTATCTTTATAATTTAACATTTAATAATTTTAATTTTATAATCTTTCTCATTATCAGTCCTATATATCAAAATATTTAACCTGTCATTTTTTTTGGTCAAGTAACAGTACGGGTAAGTCCATTTTTAACTGATGGATCAAATTAGGATTAAAATAGTAAATAATAAAAATTAAATCAAATAATTTTTTAATTTAAAAATCAAATCAGATATCCGTGTAATAGTTAAGAGACCATTTTAACCAACAAATTATATGACAGGATGGCAGAAAATTTGGAAATGGGAAACAACCGCTCAAGCTCAAGCAACTAAATAATATAATAACAAAAATTAAGATCGCTAAGAAAAGAATAAAAAAAGTCACAACTCACCTCCCTACCGGGGTGGAAAGGGACTTCCGGTCCACCGGTAACCTCAACGGCGACGACACCAGCAAGCTACAAGTTATAACACCAAAATCAAATAATCATCCAAAGCTACACAAATCTTAATCACAACATAGTTAAATCTAAAACAAATGAAAAGTCAGAACCGAACAAAACATACCTGGTAGAAGTCAGCGTTGGAGACCATGGGGAACTGCTCCTTGAGGGATTCCAGAAGCCTTAAGGCGATATCAAGGCCATTGTTGGCACCATGAGCCAACTCCGCAGGGTACTTCATGGTTCCAAATGGACCACCGGTCTTCGTCTTCACATCGAATGTACCAGCTGAATGCCACCTGCATACCAGAACACCACATAACCACATCATGATTCTCACAAGTCACACAACCAGATTCACAACATACAAAGACAGAGAAGCTAATGTGCGTCGACTTACGCCAGACGAAGCATGAGCGGAGCGCAGTTGTTGGAGGCGATGAAGCCTCTGAGCTTCTTCTTGGCCTTCTCAACAGCCTTCTTGTACTCCTCACTGACGGTCGGGTAGTTCTTCGTCATCTTCTCGATCCTGCAACAACCAAATTTTTTTTTTAAAAAAAATCAGTGAAAACCAAACAAATCAGCATTTAATCCAACAAGAGAATCCGATCGCCGATCGAACTCGCATTTTTCCTCCGATATGAAGGAACAGCGGTTCGCCGATTTATCTACTGACCTTGGGAGCAGCTACGATGAAGTGAATGTATGCTAAGCAAAAACCCCTGCAGGCAATATTTATGGGTGAATGGAGTTGCGCCAGTTCGCGCAAATATTCTCTAGAAGAATAGTATCAGCCGTTGGATTTTCAATATCGGAATTTACCAGGAAACGAACGGAGGTGATTTGATTTGGAAATTTTGGTTCGGCCAACCTACCTATTAACAGGAAAATAATATATACACAACCGCCTGAAATGGTTGTCCATTTTCATAATGTGAACACTCCACAAAAGCAGAAGAGGAAAAAAGAATATTTAAAAAGCGGTGCTACGGGCACTCGCTTTTTGCACTCTCCGGCCAACACTTCCCCTTTCATTGGGCCACGTAAGCTTCTTTGAAGCTTTCCGGCGGAACCTCTCTCAAACCAAAATAACGTGGCCCAATAAAAGAGAAAGTGTTGGCCGGAGAGTGCAGGAGGCGAGTGCCCCTAGCATTGCTCATATTTAAATGATAGCGACGCGGAGTGGAAAAAAAGCCAGGGGCTGAAATGATCACGTGGTAATTATATTATAAAATATTACTATCTATCCATTTTTATTTTTAAAATTTATATTTATATTTATGTTTAAAAATAAAATTTAAAATTGAAAAATATTTTATTATTTAGATAAATATGGAAAAAAAGGTAAAATCTTGTATGAAGTTATTTTAATTTATTTCAAATTTTTTATTAGATTCTTAAATATTTATTAAAATAAATAAATTTTTAAACTTTAAATTTAAGCAAATTAGACATCATTTAATGTTTATCTGTACTTTATTTACATGTATAAAATCAATACATGTCTCATTAATAGTGATATGTTAATGGGTAATGATTTGCGGGACGAAAATGGGGAGCGAAAATGGGAGCCGACAAGTGAAGTTAGTAAAATTACAAAATTACCCATTTAACCAACTTCACTTGTCGGTTCCCATTTTCGCCCTCCACTTTCGTCTCGCAAATCATTATCCTATGTTAATATATTGCCTATGCAAGTAATGTACAAACCAATGTCTTGGTCGTTACAAAGAAAAGAGATTAAATTGTTCATATCTATAAATTTAGAGATTTATTTTCTTTAATAAAAGTTTAATTGCTTAATTAAAAATTTAAAATATGTTGAATGACTCAATATAGGGTTTTGTCCAAGAAAATTAGAAAAGTAATGAATATAAAAATAATATATTTGTAAGTAGTAAATTAAGTAACAAATATAAAGATTTAAAATTATTTACTCGACTTGTTTAATTAATTTATTTAATTGACCTACTACCTATAGTTGTATAAATATTAAAATTTTACGTTATATCTATATAATAATAATTTTTAAAACTAAAAATAATAAAACTACAAAAATAAATCCTAAGTAAAAGAAATCATATATGCAACAATAGCAACTTAAATAAATAATAAATTATAAGTCAAGCACATAATACACAATACAAAAGCCTATTTTTTTCCTAAACTTTATACACAAATTTATACCTATAAGTTCCTTGATACTTGTTAGATTAAATACTAAATATAAGTTTTTAAATATTTGAATAAATATCAAGTCGAATACATTACATTTAAAAATTTTCAAATCAAATATCAGATATAATTCATATATCCATATTAAGTGGCAACGCATTAACGGCCCAAAATAAAATTATAAGGCCTCTAGAAACCCTGGGCCCTAACGGGCTCTTTATCCATTTTTGGGCCTGTCTCAAATAAACCTGGTTTCCCATCTTTCATCTTTTCCTGCTCAAGTCAAGCCCCCATTACTATTTAGAGCTTCGGAGTGAAAAATGAAAATTGATAGAGAACAATGAAATTTCACATTCTAATATATAACAAGGTTAGGATATACCTATATATAAATTTTATATATTATATTTATATAAAATTTTAATTATTTATTTTTAAATTTTTAATAA